ACTCGCGCAGAAGTCCATTGTACATTCAAAATGGGTTAACAATTCAAAATTAAGACTTCAAAAGTGTTGTAATTATGATTAACCTATAGTGTAATACCAGGATATTCTGCTCAGACGAGAAAACCAAATGTCGAACAGACTACTTGTTGACCGCCTACGTAAACGATATTCCGCAAAAAATATTTACATAATTACATGACGCTTTCCTTATGATTATCAGCGCCTTTTGCAAATTTACATAGATTTTTATAAAAACAATATGCTAAAATGACTTCTGTTTATTTGGCAGAAACATATGATTTTTCCTAATTTTATAAATTATATAAAGGGTTTTTCGGGTTTCAAAAAGGTGCGGTTGAAAGATGTTTAAAAACCAGGAAATTTTCAATCATTCTCTATTGCATTCGCAATTTTACCAATTCTGTTTATAAGATGGACAGCATTGGCTACGCCCAGTAAAACGTTTTATGGGCCTTATGTGTTCTCTTTATAAGGGCACATAGAAATGGTTATTTTCATCATGCAAAAATTACACAGCTTACAGTTCGGAAATGCTGAATTCACTTGTACCAGCAAAGCGGTTTTAAAATTATTCGATAGCACAAACATCTTTCAATACTGAAGGACACTTTTTCGTCAATTATAAGATCAAAAAACGTGCTTTCCTGCAAAATAAGCAAATTTAAGATTAGTTTTTGCATTTTTTTTCACAAAACAAAATCAAATATATGTGGGTGCAAAAAATCAAGGTGGATAATTTATGCTACTGAAATTGTTATTTTGATAGAATATTTTAACTAAGCTATTCGAAATCTGATATCCTGACGTGTCCCAAATTTTATAGCATAATGCACTACTGTAAGCAATATTACGGTCATATTTAGACGATATTGTGCTATAAAAGCATTTTAGAATTCAGTTAACACCTCATGAGAAGGCATGTCTACTGTAGGTTCTTCATTGCTGGTCTCAGTACCCAATGTCCTCAAGTTGCCGGAACGTGCTAAACCGATCTCCCAGATAAGTAGACGTTTACAGTTTTTTATGCAAGCCATAACCATACTAGACATCTAAGCACGCACCGTTTCACGATGATGAACAAACCATTATGCCTCGCGAGGTCACCACTTAATATGCTTGACTTACGTTTCATATTTTCTAACAGTCGTGGGGTTCGATAGCTTGCGGAATTTAAAATTCCATTTTTCATCAATAATTAACAAAACATCTTTATTTGAAGACGAAGACAGGCTCTCCGGAAGAGGTTTATGTAAGTGCTGACGTCTACGAGTCCCTTTTCCGAAAAAGAGGCAAGTACCTCTCTCTGTTTTGTTCACTGTATGGGTTTTTCAACATAATGCACAGTCCGTTTGCATAATAACCGGAAAGAAGACGACTTAATAAGCAAAATTCAAAAAACTGTATTGACCTCCCCTTCCACTCGCTCATTTTTTTGTTGATCTTCTTCTTCTTCGTTTCCTACTTCCTGTTCCCACCCCGATGGCACACACTAACTGTTGTACTGACTAACAAAAGCCATCGGCGCTTACTGAAGTCACTTTTAATGTCCTCCGCCGGAAATTTATCATTTATTTTAGTAAATTTCGCTGACAATAGGATGAGTCGCTAACGGTTTTAACTGATCTTAATGCCATAGGAGTGTCTAAAGTCAAGTAGCGCCCTTAAAGCATCCCGTGTCTAAACATATCTGGACCATATGATGCTTCGGTGGACTTTCTTATGTAATTTTCGACACAGTTGCATCGCAGTTTGATTGTTGTATACGTGATGCCTGGTATCTGGTTTTCTAACAGTACCATTCTTGTCAATAAAATAAACATTAATTTTTGCCTTTTGTTTATCCTTGGTCGGGATTCTGAATAAGAATTTTCAATAGTATTGTGAACAACACAGGTACAGACTTCTTAAAGCATTAGATGTTACAGTCATGCTGGATGACAATTTCAGACAAGCAAAGGATACTTCTGTTTTAAAGGCTGACTCCGGAGTTCCGATATCAAGTGCCTTTGATAAAATGACAATGTACGCAAAATGATTACGAGCTGTCCAACCAAACGTCTTGTTTGAAAATAAGTTTGGCGACTATTAGTCGTTCATTGGTATTTCATGTCCGTAGGTCGCTATCAGACTTCAGAATTATGTTAAAAGTAAATACATAATTAAGCCAGTTATCATCGTGCTTTAGGACTTTTGCGCCAGAAATACAGACGAAAATGTATTATATGTTCCAATATCTCTATATGTATATATTAAAGAAATACTACAAGCTTTTGTAGCCGTTACCTCCTAGACTATTTCTCCAAAGGGTTATTTTGCATGTTAACCCCAGTAAAAAGTTGGAAATCAAAACACTGTATAATTGCAAAAGACGTATTTAACTGTAGGGGCAAATATATAGAGTGATATAAACAGAGTGATATAAACACTGCTGCCGCTTAGCATGCTGTCCAGAAGTCGATCTACGGATTATTGTGCTACCGAGAAGGTAGTACGATTTCAGTCATCCGCAGGCGCTAAAGTAAATGCAAGCATAGAAGGAAAAAACAAAAGTTACTGCAATGTAGGAAGTAATATTGTGTAATAGAGAATTGTTAACGCGAAACGTCGGTACGATGCCGGTCGGGCGAGATTGTGGTACATAATAATATACTGTTCCAGCTCTTTCCTAGGAGATTGGACGGATATGTTCAAAACGATATCTGCAAGCAGAGCATTCTGAGTTTTTACCACTGTGTTGGATAAGATCGTCCGTAGGTGTTGACTACGGAGCGTCACAGGTACAGTAGGTGGGCTAGCTCATAAAACGTCAACCGAAATTCCGAAATGCGTTTTTGTTTTTAAAAGCTTAACTAAGTAGGGCTGTAAAACTACTCATCATGCAGCATAATTCTGTAATAATTCAGTTATCCCAGGATGCCGGCTTTCGAACGAATTTCGTTTTGACTGCATGCACAAATTATACTATGTAAAAAATTGTTGATTGCATAGCATGCATTTTTCTCATTGATTTTCGATGCCTTTATAAATTCAATCATACTTCATGGAAAACATGCATGCATATTCGGTAGAAAATTACGTATTCTTCAAATTTTATGTTCGAGGGAAGTCTTAACTTCGGTTTTAAATGGTTTATAATTGTCATTTTTTAATGCCATGAAATACCCGTTCATAAATCATCGCGTCTCTGAACTTCCTAATGTGGTTTGTCAAGTTCACAATATGGCTCCAATCCATTGTAAAATTTCATGGACTCCATAAAATCCTCTTTCCATGCTGTATAGAAATGCATCGTTTTTTCTACGCGGAAAGTATAGGGCTTCTAGCTTGGAAACCGTAGTGTAAACAACAATTAAACTACAAAGACTAATAAATACCTAACTCTAAGTGGGGAAAGTTGCGAGTAGTACATGAAAAATAACGATAACAAAGATAGTATAAGAAAAACGGCAACAGGTAAATAGTTGTACAGACTAACGATAAATAAATCCTTCTCTAGAATTCTCGGCCGTAGGTTGGATGTTCTGGGAAAAATTCCCAGGCGAAGTCAGTTAATGAGGCTTGTCGCTCAGATGAAATTTACGTCAAGTTAAATATGGCCAAACGATATAAAGTTTTATGTTGATTGACTAAAATAGATTGAGACGAAGGAGTGCAATCGACGAAACAATGCCACCAAGCGGCAGACAGACACAACAATCACACTTTTACTCAAGCCGAAACCAAGTGTGTGTATTTAAGCTAATTTCAACAGCCATACAGAAATGTTCAGGTGTACAAGAAAGTTTAGAGTGAAAAATCGAAAATGTGCGTAAACCTACACAATTCCCCAACCAGAGCGTTTGTTGTACAAAAAACGCTCGATAAAAAAATGCAAAATGTTACACCAAAAAGTCTTTGACTTTGGCAGGAAAATGAATATGTCTACAGATCGAGATGAGGTGCGTGATGGAGTGGAAGGAGAATCAGTATGGGTGGACGGTGTGATCGAGTGCGGTGGTTGAGTGGAGGGGACTTAAACGGGTGGATCGGGTGAGGACGGTGCAGAGGAAGTCGGTGGCACAATCGACAGTGGGACGCACTCAGGATAGGCTGGCTTAAGTCTGTCAATGGAGACTGTGTCAGTTTTGTCAGCCTTTTGAATGACGTAATACTTGTCTATACACTGAAGAACCTTATATGGGCCATCCTACGGAGAACAGAGAGACTTGCGAACCGCGTCATGCCGGACGAAAACGAATGGAGAAGATTTAAGGTCCTCATGCAAAAACACATGTTTCGATGTCAGACGAGTGGGGGTTTGGCGCAATTGGGCCATGTGTTTATTCAACTGCTGTATTAAGGTGCTCGGGATGTTGGTGTTTGTCGTGGAAGACTGCACAAATTCGCCGGGCAGTCGGAGTGGTGTACTGTACACAAGTTCGGCGGCAGTGCATTGAATGTCCTTCCTGACAGAAGATCGGATGTCCAAAAGCGCAAGAGGGAGATTGTCACTCCAAGAAGCTTATTCCGTTTGAGACATCAGTGCGGACTTGAGTTGACGGTGTAGGCGCTCCACGATGCCCTTGACGGCAGGGTGGTATGCCGTGGTTGTGATGTGCGCACACCCGAGCAGTTTCAGTGGCTAGATTTGAATTGACTCCCGCGTTCAGTAGTAAGGGTGGCCGGAACGCCAAATGTTGAAATCCAGTGCGTCAGGAAAACCATGGCGATATTTTCTGCCGAGGTATCCGAGATGGGAACGGCAATCGGCCATCGTGTTAAATGGTCAACCGCTGTCAGAATATGCGTGTACCCGCGTGAAGGGAGCAGCGGACCAGATAAATCCAAGTGGACGTGATGGAATCGAACATCTGGAACGGCGAATGTACTTGGTGGAGAAAATGTGTGCCGGTGCACTTTATTTTTCTGGCAGGCTAAACACTACTTAGTCCAAAGAGCGATGTCAGAGTTCATCTTCGGCCAGATAAAACGAGCAGCGATTAGCTTACGAGAAGCGCGGATGCCAGGATGTGCCGAGAATGGAAATGGCCAAACACTGTCTTGCGGAAGGACAGTGGAACAACAGGTCGAGGGGCGCCTGTGGACCATTCGCACAAAATCGTGCCTGGTGATGCGGGAAGTGGTGCATCTCGAAGTTGCAGAGTAGTAGTAGTACGCAGGTCGTCAATGGATTGTAGGTCTGCAAGTTTCGCAAGGTCGAAATCGGATGTAAGTGTGTTGACGTCCGGACGGGATAATGTATCAGCAACGACATTGTCGCTGTCTCGGATGTAGCGGATATCTGCCGTGAACTGCGATATATAGTCCAGATGACGAACTTTCCTGGGCGAGTACCTATCTGGCTTGGCCTTGAGGGCGTAAGTGAGAGGTTTGTGGTCCCTGTGAACTGAAAAATCTCTGCCCTCTAAGAGGTGTCGAAAATGACGAATGGCCAGGTAGATGGCAAGGAGTTCGCGAGAGAAAGTACTGTAGCGAGTCTGCGCCGGTCGTAGCTTCTGTGAAAAGAAAGCCAGCGGCTGCAACTGGCTATTCACCTGTTGATGCAGGACTGCGCGGACAGCATTGTTGGAAGCGTCAGTGGTCAAGATCAGCTGTGCGTGGGGATCAGAGCTGAGATAGTGAAGGAAAGTGGCATCAGCAAGAGCTTTCTTAGCTGCCTCAAAGGCTGAGTGAGCTGCTGGAGGAAGTTCGATGGGCCTTGATTTAGATTTAAGAAGGTCAGTTAAGGGAGCTAGAGTCGCCGCACAGTGAGGGATAAAAAGATCTATAAAACGCCGCAGCTGAGTTTGGGTCTCGGGGACAGGGAATGACAGGATGCTCTGCACCTTCTTTAGCAGCGATGTGATTCCATGCTGGTTGACGTGGTGACCAAGGAAATCTAGAGAAGAGACGTCAAAGATACATTTGTTGACGTTTAATTGCAGACCATGTTGCTGGAAACGATCGAATATCTGGCGCAAGTGCGAGGCATGTTCCTCTGTCGAAGAACTTACGACGAGTAGGTCGTCAATGTAGACATAGGTGAATGAGAGACCCCGCAAGATGTCATCGATGAAGCGTTGGAAGGATTGGGCCGCGTTGCGCAAACCAAACGACATGCAAAGGAATTCGAACAAACCGAAAGGCGTTGTGACGACGGTCTTGAGGATGTCTTCTTCCTCGACCGGAATTTGGGGATATGCCCTCACGAGGTCTAATTTGGAAAAAATAGTTTTTCCGGCTAGCGTGTGAGAAAAATCATGCATATGGGGAATCGGGTATCGGTTGGGAACAGTGGCTCTGTTGAGAGCGCGATAGTCGCCGCATGGTCTCCAATCATCAGTGGATTTCTTGGGTAGCATGTGGAGGGGAGAAGCCCATGGGCTGGAGGAAGGACGAATAATTCCTAGGTTCATCATATGCTTAAATTCGTTCCTTGCTATCCGAAGTTTATCAGGGTGAAGACGGCGAGGATGAGCGTAAGCAGGTTGCCCCGTGGTGATGATGTGGTGTTTAACCGTATGCTGAACTTCCCCGGTGAACTGACAGAACTTAGTGAGGGACGGGTAGTCCTTCAAAATGTCAGCAAAGGGTGAGCTTGGTACGGTTAAATGGATGGTAACCGAGGGTTCAGAAGCAGTAATCCCTACGGTAAAGAGTGTAGTTGTGGTATCGATAAGTTTGTGATGCCTGAGGCCGACTGCAAGGTCAAAATGAGTTAGGAAATCTGCCCTATAATGGGAGATTTAACGTCGGCCTGCACAAAGACCCACTGGAAACGTCGCCGAAGACAGACGTCAAGTGTGAGCGACCGTTGATCATAAGTGTCGATGGTGGTGCTATTGGCAGCCTGCAATGAAAACTGCGAAGGCTTGAGATGGTGGCGCTTTGGAGGCGGGATCACACAAATCTCGGCACCAGCATCGACAAGGAAACGGAGGTCGCTCATCTTGTTACTGATATAAAAGACTCGACTAGGTCGTGACTAGTCAGCGGTAGCTGTCGCCGTTACTGGCTGGCGCGGTAGTTGTGTGAACAAAAGACGTACAGTTTCTCTGAGGTCGTCATAATCGCCACGGTGAGGACTGTTAGGTGGTCGTGATTGACATGATGGCGTGGTGGCTCTGCGTGATGAGCAACGACATGCCGACCAGTCCACACAAGTGTCACGTTCCATTGAAGGAGTGTCTTCTGAACAAGAGATGGCTACTCTATCCGATCTGTCGGGCACCGAGGTCCGTTGAATATTGGCGCATTTCGCACCGACCGGGTAACAATCACCGATCCTGTCGGCATGAATGGCCACTTTGTCTAGAGAGATGCTAGTGTCCAGCATGGACATACCCTGATGCATAGGAACCGGCAACTTATCCAACCAGATTTGTCGAAAGATATCGTCGTCCATATGACGACCCAGCCAGCAATGAGCGCATGTGGCGCATAAGCTGTGAAGGAGTTTGATCTCCCAGTTATACCTGTGTGAACAACTCCCGTAGCATCCGATTGGCCGACTTGGCCCTTCTCTGGATGACAGCATTCTTTAACTGGGTGTACGGGTCGTTGGCAGGAATAGGGTCGCGGAGGTCATCAACATCGACGGCAACGTCAAATGGGAGACTTTGCACCACATAAGAGTAGCGGGTGCGTTCGCTTGTAATGCGGCTCGTTGAGAAAACCGCTTCAATTTGACGAAACCAAACCCCGGGGGTTGTTCGGTGTAAAAGGGGGTGGTTTGAAGGAGAGAATATTGACGTCTAGAGAGTCTGTTTGAGGTTCGTTATCGGTCATTGTAAAAAATAGGTTGCGTAGATATAGAAAAACAGGATCACCAATTTTGTAGTGTAAACGACAATTAAACTACAAACAATAATAAATATCTAACTCTGAGTGGGGAACGGTGCGTTTCTTACAAGAAAAATAACGATAGCAAAAATAGTATAAAAAAACGACAAAAGGTAAATAAGTGTACAGACTCACGATAAATAAAGCCTTCTCCACAAGCGTTGGCCGTAGGTCGAATGTGTTCGGTAAAATCCGAGACGAAGTCAGTGAATGAGGCTTGTCGCTCAGATGAAATTACGTCCAGTTAAATATGGCCAAACGATACAAGAGTTTTTTGTCGATTGACTAAAAACGATTGACGCAAGTAAGTGAAATCAACGAAACAATGACACTAAGCAGAAGACGGACACATAAATGACGCTTTTTCACAAGTCGAAACCAAGTGTGTGTATTTTAGTTAATTTAAACAATAGTACAGAAACGTTGAGGTGTACAAGAAAGCTTAGAGTGAAAAATCAAAAATGTACGTAAACCTACACCATACAAATAAACATGAAATACTGCAATCGATTCTGGGTCCATGAACTCCCAAAACAAACAGTTTTCAAAGAGTCCTGTTTGTGGTACTTAGTCGAACGCTTTGGAAAGTTTGAAATAATCTGCAACCGCAAAAAGTTCACCATTACAGAGTGACGTAAGAAGACAAAGACAAGAGGCATCGAATGTTTCCAAACAGCGTCTGGAAGAAACCATTTAAGAGGAACAAAGAACCCGGATTGGTGCCTATAAATCAGAAATAGTGGTGAGAATTAATTATTTGAATGCTTTCCTAATACCGCTCCAACTTTGTATTAGAGGTTCAGAAGTTTTACTTCAACTTGGAAAGCCTGACAGAAATCTGAGCAATAAAGTGCGTCGGGATTTCCTCAGTTTAAACTGAGGGCGACTTAGTCGCGTGGCATAATTTTTCGAAAAATCGAGGAAAAAATGTAATGGTAGTGAGGGATGCCAAACCTGACAGCGCAGTGGTGGTTAAAAGCCACTTTCAGATGGAAAATGGTTGACAACAAAACTATAACATCATCTTGTTTCAACCAATGCCCCTTCAAATACTACCGTTGTATAAAAGAAGACGAAGGCACGATCATTGGGACAGTAGGTTTATTTGCCTGAGCTTTCGAAATAGAACTAGAGTTCATCATCAGAGACTACTTGAGTGCAGCAGATTGTGAACATTTATATCGTTCGTCCTTGCGGAGGGGGGGGGGAGGGGGAGTATGTCCGTGGCCAGGTAGGGTTTGTGCCGCCTGGTCCACGATGTTCCCCCGGCGTGGTGACGCCGTTTGTACTTCGCGACGGTGTGAGCTGCGCCACCTGGCTGCGTGGGCGGAGCGCGTGATAACACGCAGGCAAATCGATGTGTCTGTTGATAGAGTTGGTGTCCGACACCCACGCCTCCAACAGCTCTCGCCCTGTCTTGTTGCTGGCTCGCGCCAATATCCGCGTGTTGGCGAAGTCGAACTCATGCCCTTCCTCCAGCGTGTGAGTGACTACTTGAGATAGTGGGTCGCCTCTCCGAACGGCCTCTTTGTGCTCAAGTATTCGTGAGCTCAGACGTCATCCTGTCTGGCCCGTGTAGTGGCAAGGACAGTTTTGGCAGGGGATTCGATAGACTACGCCCGACTGTTCACCGGCGCCCAACCGATCCTTCATTTTCATGATCCTGCTACGCATGGTGGCCGCCGGATGATGAGCGATGCCAACCCCTAGCTCCGACGCAATGCGTTCTGTAGCCTCGGACACATTCTTTATGTACGGTGGGGAGTGCCAAATTGTTGGTGTCCCTCTTCCGTTTGTCCGGCGTGGGTGCGCGCGTATGCAGCGACTGATAAAACTATTTGGGTAGCCGTTCTTTGTTAATTGGTCTCGGAGATGCCGTAGTTCTTGCATTCCTCCTTCGGGCTCGCTACAGTGCGTTTTTACCCGGTCGAAAAGCGCCCCCACACAGCCCCGTTTGTGCACCAATGGGTGCTTGCTATGATAGTTGAGGACCTGGGTTGTATTGGTCGCCTTTCTGTACACTGTAGTGCTGAGTTCACCGTCAGGTGTGCGCGTGACGAACACGTCCAGGAAGGTAATTTCTCGTCCTCCTCGTCTTCTCTTGTAAACTGAATGTCGGGGAATATGCTGTTAAGTAAGTCTTGAAAACCCGATAGCTTGTCCTTTTTAATAATGACGACTGTATCGTCCACGTATCGGCGCCAAAACACAGGTATGTAATGGCTGAAAGCAACCTTTTCCAGCTCTTGTAGGACCAATTCCGCAACTAGGCTGGATATTGGGGAACCCATGGGTGTTCCTTTGATTTGTTCGTATGTTCTGCCATCGAAGGTGAAAAGGTTCGTTGGCAGAATGCAAAGAGCTGCATTAGGTACTGGATCGTTAGCAGCCCTGTCGTTTCGTCGTACTTTTCTTCGAGGCCTTTGCGTAGCACGTCGCTCGCCAAGTCTGGTGAGATGGACGTGAAAAGTGAGACAACGTCGAAGGATACCATGATTTGGTCGGGTCGAATAGTTTTTCCCCGAATGTCGGCTAGGAATTGGGAGGCCGAATCGACTGACTTAACAGAGCTCTCTCGGAGAAAATTAAGTTTTCGAGACATCCATTTGGCTAGATTGTATGTGGGGCTGCCTTTCAGGGCAACGATTGCCACAGAGGAGGGACGTTAGGTATGTGGATTTTTGGTAGTCCGTAGAACCTGGCCAACGCCGTGTCGGTTGGTTTTGTCTTGCGCCATTCGTCCAGCGAGATTACGTTGCTGCGCCGGAGTCGGCTTAAGAGTCCAGTCAGCTTGCCCATCATGGATTTGGCCTGCGAGGCGGGTGCGAACCTGTAGGATTGTTGGTCGTCCAGGAGAGCTTGTGCCTTCGCGTTGTAATCAACGCGGTTCATCACAACTGTTGCTCTTCCTTTGTCGGCCGGTAGCACTATCAAATCTTTGTCCATTTTTGATCTCTTCATTGCCTTTATTTCTGCGAGTGACATATTGCTAGATTGCCTATTCGTCAGTAGGAGAGACTTGACCTTTTGGCGCACTGTGTGTTTAGCCTCTTCGGTTGCGTTAGTTCGTACTAACATGGCCTCAAGTGTGCCAATGAACTCGGCTGGGGTGGCATCAGCAGTGTTAAAATTGGTTTCGTGGCTCAACACTCTGAGTTCCGGTTCGTTTAACTGCTTCGACGATAAGTTGTGTACCGCATTTTGTCGGGACGGTAGTTGGTAGCCCTGCCAGTGAGCGATCCTTTCCTGCACTTCCAGTTTAAGGCACTACGATTTCAGTAGCTGTTATTACGTTCTCAATAAGTCTGGGAGTGCACGCGCAGAAGCCCTGTCAGGGTGACGTCCTTGTTCACTTTAACCGCCCCGAGAACGAGGCGCTGCAAAAATGCCTATATAGATTCATCGTATTGCGCCCCCCACACGTAAAGCTTTAGTAAAAGGGCGAAAGATTTATCCAAGGCGGATTATGATTCATCATGCTTCTCATTACCATCCTAGGCGGATTGGCGCGGGTCTTCATTAAGTCGGTTTGCCTGCGTTCTTGGGTCTTTTTATTCCAGACCTCCAGCCGATCCCGCCAACATAACCGGGGATTGTCAATGACAGGGACCGAGTCGAAAATTAAGTTGTGTGCCCAGGATGATAGCAACGCACAATTTATCTGGATCAAATTCAAAAGCTACATTTCTCGGCTTGAGTCATTTTCTCATAAGGCTGATCGTACGCTGAGGGTAACTGCAGTAAATGACTTACCAAATTGTGGGTTATGCTCAGCTCCATTCATAAGAAAGGAGAAAGCAGTGGAGATTTGAGCTGTTGGAAGAACTGAAAGTTCGAAATCAAAACTGCCGGAGTCCGTTATGTGAGTCAATATTAGTGCTAATTAAAAAGCATTGCCTCAAAAAAACAAGTTGAAGCAGGTTACATAAAAAGGAATGGTGTCTTTTGAGACCGCAAAATTAAAAGCGGTCATAAAATAAGAGATTCTATCGAGTGTCATTATTAGGGTGTTTGGATGGTAATTGTGTTTTAAGTTCTATGATGATTCCCATTTACACATTAAGGAAGTTTAAGTTGGCGAACGTACTTTTCGACTATTCTTCGTCA